AAAGCACAGCCAGGAGCCTGATTTCAGAGATCTGCTGATCAGCTTTGCAAGCACTTCCACAGAGACTTGGAAAAGGTAAGCCTAAACCAAGGCAATTCTCACTTGATATTCATGTGGATATTCCAGCTTGTTCCTAGGTCCTCTTAGAAGCAAACAGGCAATGCTCCCACATTGGAAAAGGGGAAAGAGCCACCTGAAACAACTTCTGTGGGCAACATCTGTAGTGACACACACATATGACTCTTGGTTGAGAAACTGCTTTGGCTCTCTAGGACTGCTCAGCTAAGCTGAGAAGAGCAGGTATCATGTTCACTCCACACATCTGGCTTCTCAACAGCAACAGCCTCCTTGGTGCACCATCAGGGAAGGGAAGCCTTGAACGTATCTAAGGGTGGACTTCAGAGCAAGTGCTCCATCGCAGTCTTGTACTTCAGTCCACCAGGTGCTTTGTGCAGATCAACTACATCTTGTGCAATAAGTCTGCAGCAGCAAAGCTGCTGTCAGTATCTGCTGAGTTCAGATTAATTTAACTAGAAGATGTTAGATAATTGTTATTTATTTAAATTATTTTCTTATTTATTTAAAATAATAAAGACAGCAAAAACTAAAAGATACCTTTTTATAACATAGCAGCAGCCTGTTCTGGCACAGAGAGGACTCCCTGTGTCTTACGCACAGTGCATCTTCTGCTACCTCTCCCTCAACAGCCTAAACAACTTTGACTGTCCAGATGGAAATACCCCAGGGGTTCACAGCTGGCTGATCTCTTCAGAGGGAAGAGAAACTCTTCCCTTCCTTACTCTTTGGCTGAACAACAATTTGTTTACTCAAACAGCTCTCCCCCTTCCCTGGGTTGACAAGAATTTCACCTCCATCAAAGAGCTGACCAGTTTCTTCTCTTAAACTCTAAATACTCCTAAGAGAGATTCTGTGGGAGCTGAGCTCTTTACGCCTCATGACTGCACTCCAGCTGCCTGTAGTCTAATGGTGTTTCTTTCATCTGCCGCACAGGCGTTCATACACTGAGGTTACTGCTCAATTACCCTGTTGCTTGTGGAAAACTGAGAGGATGGCAGTTTATTGGAAATAAGTGTGAGGTAGAGTCCTACAGGGAGGAAAGTCACCCTTTGAAGCTTCAGTCAGCGCCAGTTTATATGGGCCACACAAGAGAAGGTGTGGTGGGTCACCAGCTGACATATGCTCAGTAGAAATCAAAAGCCATACTGGGTTTGGCACAAATACAAACGGGCAAAGCATCAACTAGAACAGGGGTTTTAGTCCTTAATGGAAAGTTTTCCACTTCAAACAACCACAACCAGTAGGAAAAAGGAGCTTAAAAGTCATTCAAGACTGAAAAAGTCAGAACATGAAAAGTAGCAATGAAGAGTCTGCAACCTACAGCATTTTCACACTTCTACTCCCTCCTTGGGCAAACGTGCCCATTCCAAGAAGTGAATTGTATGTTGCTGATTGTGTAAGGCAGGCAAATGGGAGTCCATGGTTTCAGACTGTTGTCCCATCCCTTTACAGGCACGTCTGGCAGCACGTGTCTTGAGAGCTAACTGAAAATGGCCAAGCTGCCATGAGCAATCCATAGCCTCATACTGAGGAAAAACTGGATTCAAACTGGGCTGCCCCGTATTGCCCATCTCCTGAGAGAAAGGATTTGAATACTTCCTGTTTCTCTCAAAGAAGATTTATAGCTGATCATCATGCAGAAAGTGCTCAGTAAGGGTTATCAATCCTTCCAAACATAGTGACTAATTCAAACCTATTTGGCGCATCCATCACAGGGCACTACAGCATTATGGTTTTCCCTTCTCTTTGACTGCGATACTGAATCCTTTAGGGTGTTCCTTTACAAACCCTGATCTATTTATGTGGCTCCAAATGTGCTGAGCTCAATTCTAATTTATAATCTCACTTCTTGTTCATGCAGCACTTCCCCTCTTCCCAGCACGCAGCTTTCAAGTGTCCCACTTTGTCGTGCACTGCCCTCCGATGAGTTCTCAGTAACGGAGCTCATATCCAGCTCTAAAAGCAGCTCACTTAGTGCTACAGAGCACTACAGAGCCCTGTGGACTACTGAAGCACAGAGGTGAGAAGATTAACTAAGGGAATTTGCAAGGTGAGATGCATACAGAAAAGCTCAGCAATATTTCTGTCTGAGCTTTGTTCTCATACAAACAGTTTGGATGTATTAACAAGACAAAACAGGTTATGAAGGGCATTTTTCTTTGTGCTCTGAAGACTATGGTGCTCTCTAAGACAAATATGATGCTCCCTTTCACACCTAAACAACTCCCATGGCCAGAGCCATCCACAAGAGGAGAACACTGCTCCCTCATGCGTTTCAGATGTTTGCACAGCAGGGCATGCCTGGTACTATTCATCTGTAGAGCACAGTGGTCCTGGATTTGTTCTGGTGAACCTAGATGCTGCTTTAATGTACTCAGTTTAAAATCTTATTATGGTTTTATGTATTTGCTCATGTTTTCTGTTGAAAAACTTAGTCTGGGCAAAACAGCATGTGTAGAACATGGGGGGTTGTGTTCTCAGAGTTAATTAAGCTTTTATATGAAGATGTGCAGACTGCTAATACTCTGACGATGCTATTTTAATGAATGCCAACCTACACTGTACTGCCACGAGTGAGGTCCTGCTTCCAGCAGCAACAAGTTGCCACTCTTCCACACTCATAAAATGCATGCAATTTGTCTCCTGTTTGGAGGTTGACTTTTATCATAAATACACTTTGTCATAAGAACAACAAACTTTTTGGTTTCCTCTAGAGCAGCACTTGGGGTTCTCACCTCTGAGAGTACTGTTACGATTCACCAATCTGGTCTATACACAGAATACAGTCATCCATTAATGCAGCCTAAAAACCTGATACAAAGGTTTTTGTATCATGGAAAATTATTCCACAGATTCTCTACTATAAAAAGAAAATGATCCACTTTATTACCTTTCATGGTCTGTATCTGTCATGCCTTTGCTACTATCTGAGCTTTGCCGTTAGATCAAGGAGGGCATTCATACAAACACTTTTCTCCCTACCTTACTATAGTTCTCTTTTAAATCAAAGTGAGTTAAAATACACCTGCAAATACAACTCCCAGCTTTTCACCACACCCAACCAGTAGAAAGCCAACTGCCGCTGCTCACTGCAGCCAGCAAGGAGACACTAGGTGCTTCTGTTAAGACTCCATGGCAGGATCCAGGTAGTCACAATAAACTCCCTTGGTGAGCACCAGAGAGAACAGACACCTGAAGACAAAAGTAAGCTCATCCTAAAGCAAGTATCTGACATAGGTCACTTCAATCATCTTCTAAAATCCTCTTTGCTCATCATAAAGAGAGCCCAGGCTAAGTAACCCAGATGGGGATACCAGAATTGCAGCTGTTTCCAGCAGTTTCCATCTAGGCACTGCATACATACACCACCTACAGCCCTCTTTTGTCTGTAATAAAGAGACAAAGCCACAGCCTACGAAGAATTTGAGAACTGGGAAGCCACTTGCACTGAGACAAGGAACACGTTGGTCTTGCTAACACTTAGAATGAGAAGCACCCAGGAAAAGTCTGGCTTTAGACACCTCGCTCTTCTCTGGTACTTTTCATCTGTGGATCTGAAAGTATCTCACAAAACAAATCAATGTTATTATTCCTGCTTTACTTGTCCAAGGTCATCTGGCACAGACACAAGCTGAACTCCAGTGCTCTGAAATGCTCCCGAGGACCACACAAGCCACGCACCCTCCCCTAGAAACAGCATTAACGTTATCTCCAGAAACGCAGGAATTTGGGATTCACAGAATGAATCTAAAACTGAGTTTCTAAGATAAATGAATATGAAATAAGAGCAATTATAAATGTAAATTAAATAAGAAGCAACTTATCTGGACTGTTTTTTTAGGCATCTGCCTTGGGACTTGCAGTGCAGAAATACCATGGCTCTGACATCACAAGTATGAACTTCTGTGCATTGAGAAAATCCCACTGTTTATTTGGATCTTTTGAAGTCTAGTATCAATATAGCTTCTTAGTCCCCAGGGTGTCCTCAACATTTGAGATGTGTATTTTTAACTTCTGTACTTACTGACATTCCATTCACACTGTTTGGCTGTTCTCCCCATCAGGGCTTCATCAGCCATCGCTCCCATTTTGGCACCACCAGGCTTATTTGCTTTACCATTTCCTAAATGCCTGGGTGAAGAGGTGTGGCCTGCTACACCAATTAGTTCACCCACACAAAGACTGAGTTAACTTAAGAGCTAAAGCTCTTTGAGGGCATTTTTCTATCAATGCAATCAGCATAAACCAAGGAAATCACCAGTGAAGGCAGCACTGATGCTCAGGCCATTGTACACACTGCTTTTTACATGCTGTGCTGCCCACATGCCGTAATACCTAAAGGCTCCCACCGACCCCACTTCCACACAACAAGCTCACCCTTACCTCCAGGATTCAGCCACCGCAGTGCATCTATTCAGTCCCTACACACACACCATGGTAGGAAGCCAGGCATAAGGGACAATGCCCATGGGGATATGTCGTAGGTTAAGTGGATTTCAAGAGTGTCATTAGGGATGTACAGGTAGTAGCTGTCAAATAAAATGTCACTACTTGTTTTTAATAAGGCAAAGAAGAGTCAGGGCTTTCAGGGCCTGGTATGTTATGTTACCACACCAGAAATCAGATGCAGCCAGGAGACAGCAGCCCTCCTCAGCACTCCTGCTTGAGCCCTCTGTTTCACATTGATGGTACATTGGACAAGAAGATTATGATCACATAATTCAGTCTCATTGGTTACAGTCCTGGTAACAAACTCTTTTCCCATCAGAATTCCTCCCTCTGCATGACATCACTTACAACATACCCATCCTGATGGCAAAATACCAGGCACAAGAAGCGCTTGGTCTTGGTGGGGGTAGCTAACTAAGAATAAACACAGTTTGGAAGCTGGCACCATCCAAGTCACTCCATGTTGTCCCTAGAGTAAAATGCAAGGCAGAAAAGCTGGACACACCAACCAAGTTGGCAGGAACACAGGAATGTTTTTTAGCTGCCATAAAGACCTGAAACAAGAGCTTCCCAAATCTCTGCAGGTATGTCTGTGACTTTTCCATCATCAGTAGCCTGCTGCTTAGGGAAGCAGAGCATTAGGCTTTCTTTAAGAGAGTTTTAAAAGCCCCTCTGTTCACTTTCAACTATTCATCACAGTCATTTGAAGTTCTCTTTTGCACCCCTCCTTCTTCTTACTCACATCTGGTGCTGCACGCTACGATGCTGCAACCATAAATAACGAAGGAATGATATAGAGATACTGGATGCTCTGTTCCAGTGTCCTCAGAGTCAACCATTCAGTAAAGTTCTTACATTTCCACTACAATAAATACATGGGAGAAGGGGGCGGGGGAATAGAAAGTTCCCTATTCTAGGATACAGCTTTTAAATAGCAGGGTCAGCAAGCACACAGGCTGAAAAATAAGTGGCATATTGTAAGATGATTTTCCCCCTTAGTTATTACATTCACATTGAAAACTCCAGAACAGATAAGATTTAGCAAAAGCATTTCATGAAAGGCTGATTTATGCCAGTAGTTGGTCTCCTGGTAAAATCTGGCATATGCATCTCCTACATATAAGAGGCTGAAATAGGAAAAGGCTGGTTTTAGTTGTCTCTGCTCCAGACAGATGATGTGACAGTATCTTGTCCCAACACATGAACTTGTTATAAGGTTACAAAGATACTATCAGAGAGAGCTCTGCACTTGGTGAGCGTTTCTGTAGCCATGTACCCTCTCTGCTGTGCAAGCATATCCTATTCCACCACTGATTTGTCTGATTATGGAAATGGAGAGGAAACTACAATCAGTTTAGCAATTTTTCCAAGCAACAACTGAAATTACACTGACACCATCAGGACTGTTACCTTCCATTTCCAGAACCTCCTTACTGCTGGTGTACAAGTTTCTCTAGAAGAGAATCATAGCATCACAGAATGATTTGGGTTGGAAGGGACCTTTAAGCTCATCCAGTTCCAATTCCCCACCTCCCACTAGAGCAGGTTGTTCCATGCCCCATCTAACCTGGCCTTGAACACTGCCAGGGATGAGGCATTCGCCACTTCTTTAGGCAGCCTGTTCCAGCTCCTCACCACCCTCACAGTAAAGAACTTCTTCCTCATACCTAACCTGAACTTCCCCTGTTTAAGCTTAAACCCATCATCACTCCTTGTCCTATCTCTACAGCCTCTGATGAAGAGTCCCTTGCAGACCCCCTTCAGATACTGGAAGCTGCTCTGAGGTATCAACACAGCTTCTCTTCCCCAGGCTGAACAGAAAGAAGCCTCTTTAAGTGGAGAGCTGAAGAAATGAGGTTTGGCCAGTAGGTAAACTGTGCAAGTCCAAGCACTACAGTCTAGAACGCAGCTGCGGAAACTGCGTCTGCTTCCTGCACACTTATGGTGAAAAAAATCTCCTGGGAATAAGCATATTAGGGCCTATCTTCTCTGTGAAAGTTATTTTTGGTTTATCATTAAGGGTAAATATATTCCTTCAGGGTATTTTCTGAAGGTGCTTTTGAGTTCCAGGGTCTTGAGGACAAATACCCCTGTAGTGTTTATGTACTGGTGAGAACTGGCCATGGCAAAAACGTTCCAGTTTAATGATTCACGACTGCATACAAACCAGGTCTCACACAACAGAAATGAATCTCAAGAGCTCATCATCACCTCTACAGCTCCCAGGGAAACCATAAGAAATCCATTTACCTCAGTGGACATTAAACCCTCACCTTTCTTGACTGCCCATCTTCATTTCTCAGTCTTGATTTAGTGATGCCAATTTCAATAAATTACTTGCATCCGTATAAAGTTGCCCTCACACACAGCAAAAGGAATCCAGGAAACTCCAGAAAAAGGCAAAAGCTGCAGTAAGGTAAGGCACTAAAGCATTTGGAGGCACTCAGAGGTTAAACTGGACTACAGTGAAAGAAATCACTGGTGAAGGGTTCATTTATTTACATTCCCATTAGAGGAGTCCACAGAGACATACATCAACAGAAACAAACCATTTTAGTACATTCACTGACAGAACATCCATCAGTGAGCGTGATGTATGCCAGCGTGTCTTAGGAGGGACAAGACATTATTACTGTAGTGCCAAAGGAGGAGAGGGGGGCAGGGGAATGAACAAAAGGGAGTGCTGATCCTCGCCTTAACAATGAGCCCCTATTCTCCTTCACCGCACCTGAGCTTCAAGGCTTCAAAACCAAGGAACTTTTCTTGCTGGACACTAAGATATGCTGTGGTTTGCTTCATGCCTGGTGGAATACGAGTCCTTGGTGGCGTAATACATTATTTCCTTAAAAGAAGCCCTTCCTCCCATAGTATCTCCTGACTACTGTATCGCCCCTGCTAAATAAATGACTTCATCTCATTCATCAGCCGCACGCAGCTTTACTCCTTCCCCCTTCCTTCCTACTGTTTGCACTCACTGTTTGTTGTTTTAAGCACCTAACCCCCTATTAATCCATCAGACAGCACAATAGATCCATTTGTGAGAGACAGCGATTAGAGCTGGAAGCACTCAAGTCCTTCTGTGAAGCACCTGTTTCATTCAAAGAACCAGAGGGAAAAAGCAGAAAACAGGACAAAGTGCTGGTGGAAATAGAGAGAAATGGGAGAAAACGCTTCGTGTGATGAGAGCTACCAAACTTTGGAGGATGTCTTCGTGCCTTCTTCAATCAGTAGTGCAGAAAACACGCACGGCATCTGCAATACCAAACTCACGCACCTGTGACACTGGGAGGCTCCTCATCGACTGCATCCCTGCTCTTCAACTCTTAACAGAGTGGAGGAACATACAATCTACTTAACTGAAATAGTTTTTGCTGTTATTGTCTTTATTACCTTTTTCCTGTGCCCAATATTTAAATTACTCTTAAAATTGGGACTATTTCAACCAGCTCCATTTCTGAAACACCCTCAGCACCAACACTGGACCTTTCCGTTGTCCCAGGTTTTGTGGTTCTTCTTCCAACAGCACCAAACATCTGTCCCAGTATTGAAAAATGAGTACTTTGAGAGAGCATGAGCATGGCTTTGAACTTTCCTGATCATTTGGGGCAGTCACATAAATGTAATAGCAGCCTTCATATACATAAACACATGTAGAAAGGGTCAGTAACTAGGTGGCTGTTGCATTTATCTTCTTTGAATACAAAGGTAAGTGACAATAGACAAACAAAACTACCAAGTGGCATAGCACAGCTCTGAATCATTCTCTTTCTCTTTTATGAAATGAGAGAAAATTATACGCCAAGCAGATTGTATAAGCACTACAGGCAATAAGTAAAGCTGGAAGAAGGCCAGGCTCCATTAATAGCTGCTATTTGATCTAGTTCAAGATCCCTAAACACCCAATACCTGTTGAAGTCAGGGGAAAGGCTCCTATCAGTTTCAGGAGGTGCTGTATTCAACCCAGTACGGTTGGCAAATAATAGTGCATGGAACAAGGAGCAGAGCTGATGCTGCAGCAATGAAGTTCATCACCACACTGGAAAGCAGGCTGTGGTTAAGAGTCCATAACTCCGGATTGATCAGCTCTTCCTCTTTCCAGGGGAATCTGTGCTCTTGAGGACTTTTAAGCCTCTAAAATTAATGGGATTACTCAAGGAATAACGCACCACATAACCTGAATATTTATGGTAAATCTACCACAGTGATTTCGAATGTGCTGTGGTCCAAGAACCCTGAAGAAAACATCCACAACTCAAAGACAGATCTTCCACTGATAGAAATCAGCTGTTTCCCTTTCAAAGCAATGGGGCTGCAACCGTTTGTGACTAATAAAACCACAGCTTCCCATTTGCAAAAGGAACAGAACTTCCACAGTATTTCATAGGCCTTTGCTTTTATTTTCTTACTGTATAATAACAGCTCATTTCATGTACAATCATAGATCATTTCTGCTCCTTCAAAGTGCAATAGTTTTGCTTATCACAAAACTGTAGGCACTGTAAGAAACTATTTGGATTCCAGCTGGGTTTAAGTTGCACTGCTTATGCATTAGTAACTTCTTTAAGAAGTCCCCAGAGGAAATGAAGCATGTATTATGTTAGCAAGTGTACGCACAGGAATAATATAAACCACACCTTTTCTCCTCTTTTCTAAGCTCCTTCTGGAATTGATTCTGTTAATAACACATAGAAACACATACATGTGTGTGTATGTAATGGGTGCATATATATGTGGACACAGAGCTGTATTTATCCACATGTATCATTATAGCAACAGTCATCCTTTCATAGGGCTCATCAATAGCAGGTTTTACTCACCTGATGGGCAAGTTGCCATGGGGCCATCCTGTCTGTCAGCACACCTTATCTGCTATCATGCCTTTCTTCAGATCCATAGTTACAAGTAAGAAAAGGCTGGATATCTGTCTCCTCCTAAACACAATCAAATTAAAGCTGTAATTAGCGGCCTGCCCAGGACAACCAGGTTACATTCCACTCCTCAGGTAGAGCCCGCGCAGAGGTGACAGGCCCCTGGGGACAATACGTGAGGCAAAGAGAAGAAAGTTAGCTCTGATGTGCTCAAACTCAGGACCAGATGAAAAATGAAGGAGAGCTCAGATCATCCTTCCTTCCAGAGGATGAATTGTAGAAAGGAGCTCACACTCGGATGGCACCAGATTACCACAAGGGAGGCTGGGTTGAAGAAATCGGGTTTCAGACAATGAAGTATTTTCCTATTGATATCAACTAGTTCTGTCCATTAAGGTAAAAATGGCAAACAAACATAAACCAAACCAAGTATTTTTACCTGTCGGAAATAGGAGATGCCAATAATTTCCACCAAAATGAAGGAATTAATTAAAAGAATCTCAGTGTTATTGACTCTGTTACATCTCTGCAGGCACTGCATGCAGCAGTGCCTTGTAGAGGGGCTGCTGGAGCCAGTAACATAGAATCATAGAAACAACCAGGTTGGAAAAGACCTTTAAGATCACCAAGTCCAACTTTTACCCCAGCACTGCCAAGGCCACCACTAACCCATGGCACTGAGGCCTCATCTCCACAGTGTGTGAACACTTGCAGGGATGGTGACTGCAGCCCTGCCCTGGGCAGCCTGTTCCAATGCCTGAGCACCCTCTGGGGAAGGAATTATTCCCCATCTCCATCTAAACCTGCCCTGGTGCAGCTTGAGGAGGCTGTTTCCCTTGTCCTATAGCAATCTTCAATTTAAATCTGAAATTAATCTTACTTTCTATCAGAAATCTGGGTTCACTGATGCCACTTCTCAGCCAGCAGAGCTCATCCATCTTCATTAACCAAACTCCAGTAAGCACCTCTGTCAAATGACTTAGCAGCACGCACATAACCTCATCACATACATTCTCGTTAGAGTATCTGCGCTTCAGCTGATGGATCTGTCATTAAGGCAAACATACTTCAGGTCTGCTTCTAATTGAAACCTGACTTCTGGCCAGGCGTTTGGCTGGGAGAGCCAGGAGAACTACTTTTTCCATGTTCACAAACATCTCCGCTAGCCCTAGGTGTCACCACCTGATTACATCTCTGGCACCGCCGGCTCCTCTTTGGCAACAAGGAGAGCATCGTCTCACCAAGCCTGCATTAGAACTTGGACTTGAGGTCGTAGGCACATGTCCCACTCATCAAACTGCACACCAGCTGGCTTTTCCTTAGTAGAAAAGGAATAATTAACTAATGAGATCAATCAAGAGCACAGGGTACCTGCAGCTACGCTTCCTTCCAAACATTCCCTACGTATTTGACCAGTAAAAGTGATGGAAAAGAAACAGATACGAGTCAAACCCTCCTTGAGTTTAGCTGCTGAGCTCTAACACAGACACCATGTGAACAAATTCACACCTTGAGAGACACATGGGAGGCAAAAAGTCCATCTCGGTGCCTTGTTTTCCAGTCCTTTTTAAGGCTTTCCTCCAAAACAGCTGTAACAGATTTTAATGTGAGCAAAATAATGTATTCTTCCCTCTGCTCAGCGTCAGAAACTGCTGAAGCATTTCTGCTGATCATTTCCAAGGCAATTCAGCCTGAAGCAGACCTCAGCATGTACGATTTCAGCACGCATGGTAAAAGTTTAACAGCATTAGGGGCTGCCACAATGGAAATTGTTGGGCATCGCTGGTTTCACTTATTCTAATGAAACTTGGTTAAAAGCTAGGAGCAGTTTGATGTTGGAGTTTTACATAATAAATACCCTTCTTTTTGGAAACCAAATTGTTCTACAGAACCTGACTTCAGCTGAATGTTTCAGCTTCCCAAGCTAATCTTGACTCCTGTGTTTTATTCTCACCGTATCACTGTATCTCATTGTTTCAAC